GTGGCAAAGGACTAAATTTGACAAAAATAAATTCTTACACACATCCACCCTTCGGGGATTAATAGCAAATTAAATATTTTAAAATAAATAAATTAGGATAAAATTCTATAACATAAAGCCCTTCTCGATCCCCTCAAGCAATTTTCCTCAGCACACTAATACACTAACCTTCATAAAAAATCCACAAAACCTCAACCAAACAAGCAAACAAAAAAACCCACCCCTCAAACAAACAAACAAATAATAATAATAATAATAAAAAAACAAACAAACAAAAAAAAACAACAAAAAACCCAAACAAACCAAAAACTAAAAAATTGAAGAAACAAGATCTGTTTATTGAGAATGAAGGAAAAGGATATAACTGATGTTGGCCTGATATTTTACCTCTCGTTAATTTGGATAGTAACTTTTACCAACCTTCAGTATTGATGTCAGTCCACCCCCACAACTTTGATGCCATTTGTTTTGGGAAGAGCACACATAGCTAATAAATGCATGGCACCGATTCAATTACTGGAGCATTTGTGGATCCTCTGAGGCCCCTCTCCCCAAGGCTGTCAAAGATGCTAGTGTCAATTCCTCCAATACTTGCCATGGACAGCTCAAGTGGAGATGGTTTTATTTGATTTGGAAGAGGAAGAGTTTGCTCTGACATCTCTCTGTGCTCCTACAATGTGCATTCAAGCATTAGTGGACAAATACATCAAATAAATATCAGATAAAAGCACCCAAAATATCCTTGATAATGCAAAGAAAGTATATATTTTAGGGTATGGTCAGAGAAGATATTCAAAGCCTCCATTGTTGCTTCTAGAAATGTCAGGACAATTCAGAAATGTCAGTTCCTTTACCAGTTTCCAGACTGTAATTGAAGGATCATGTAGCTCTTTTGCTCTTTCTCTCTCTTTCTCTCTCTCTAAATAGGTCTAAAAAGATCAGCTGGAAAGTGCAGATAGAATTGTTCACTGGTTAGCTTTACTTAGAGCTACAGGGTATATATGTGCTTTCTTTTGTCTTATTGATCAATCTAGCTTACATTTTTAGCACACACAAACAAAAAACAGGAAAAATAAAAAGTCGATGAAAAACACGAATAATACAAATAAGGTTCCAATCGTGCAAATTTTGCTTCACTGGATAAAGCACTTCTTGACACAGTAATGTCCAGAATCCCCCTCCCCCAGAAAAATACAGGACTGAGACTGAAGCCATTCTTTTTTTTTTTCCCTTTTTTTTCTTTTTTCTTTTTTTTTTTTTTTTTCTTAAGGCTATACAACACAAGGAAATAAAGAATGGAAAGAACATCGCATTGGGCTCCATTCTTCCAGCTCTGGAGCAAGCCTCTGACAAAGTGATTCTGTGGTCCAAGTTATTTGTCTCATGGGACAACAAGAAAAAGAGGAAAAAATGAAAGAGAGGGGAAAAAATGAAAAAGAATAAGAAAGTCAATGATTCCAACAATAAAATCCAAAATTGACTTTACAATCACAGGTACAAATTGCTCAGGTCGATAATTTCATTTCTCCTAAAGATCACTGTCGTCTAAAACTAATTAGAGGTGCAGGTTCCCAAGGAATTGTCAATATTCAAAGCAAATGTTGGAGTTTAGAAGGTTATCATTCTTCTACCGTGACAGTCTGACGGGGTGACTGAAAATATCGTCATGTGCTGCCAAGTTCAGGGTGTCATTAACGATTGAATCCTTGCTCCCGCTCATGGATCTGTCTCCTATTTGGCCTTCTTTTATAGCGGAAAGACTAAGAAGCCAGAAAAGGTTGAATATTTCCACCCTCCCATGAGGTTACCCCTTTCCAGTTTGAGATGCACTTTGTCTTCTCTTTCCATGAGGAGCAAGACCCCATTGCTGGCTGCTTCTCTGGTGACGTCCTGATCCCCTGCAAAAGCTGAAATCACTGGGTAGCCGTTTTGCATTAAACTTACCTAAAAAGTGCAAAGAGACAGAATCTGAGTTTTGAGAAAACTCTCAATGCCTTTTTTGCTTTGTGCAGATCACTGAACTTTTGTGCAGGTTAGAATCAGTTGAATCAAGCTAAGGTAATGTGTGATTTCTGTCATGCATACAGAACCCTTTAAAAATAACATACAGTTTCATTCTTCAATTGCTGTACTGGTAAATGTGTGGTTAGGAATGAGCATTAGGAAAACAAAAAAAAAAAAAAAAGAAAAGAAGGCAGCGTCTTCTTCAGATCAGAACCCACCTGGATGGTTTGTCTGTTATAGACCTTGACCACGTGGAAACTGAAACTATATATCCCTTTTCTTGGTGCTACAAATATACTGGAAGCAAGATCAAAATGGTTGCCAATATTAACTAATACCTGGAAAGTAAACAAATAAACAAAACAAAACAAAAAAAAAAAGGAGAGAGAGAGAGAGAGAAAGATAAATCAGAGAAAACAGACTCCACCTTAGAAAAGCACTACTGAAAATCTATCATGAGCTCCATGACCGATATAAAGCCTATGCAAAATGGCATTTGCAGCACAATTAAAAGCTTATGTCAGGGGAATCGAGTCAAGTTACAGAGGCATTTAAGAGGCATCAGAGTTAATAAAACAATTCAGTTACACAAAAATTATCTCCAAAGCCTATTAGATGAAGTGCAAATGTACACAATGCGCTGTCAATAAAGTAAAGATGGCAGAAGGGGGAGGGGGAGGAGTGTGAAATAGAGGTAAGGGGGGAGGGGAAAAGAAGCTAGGAAAAAATCCCCAAAGTCATTAACTCATAATGCAAATGTATGCTTTTTAGCTAGCACTACTGAAAACAGAGCTACCCTCGAGTTTAATAGGGTATAGAACTAAAACTGCACTGCAGAGAGGGGCAAAGGAGGAGAGCAAATGCTTAGCACCAGCAACATCTGCCAGCTCATGTCTCTCTGTCCCTCTGGAAAACAGTGCCACTTGGCTCGCACACTCCTCAAGGGGCTGGATGGGTCATCTCCTTGCCGGCAACAACATTAATTTTTCACATATTTCAATCTTTTTGAAACAAAAAAGAACAAGAATTGAGCTCTCTAGCAGATGTGCAAAGCCTCGCTCAGAAGGGGTGGCCACATCCTTCCGATCCCGTCGATCTGCCGGGTATTTGGCCTCGGCTCATCCATTCCTCCTTCTCCAGGCGCCTGTGGCAGGCAGCATGATTAGACTCAAAAGGCACGGGTGGTGAGGAAAGAAGAACGCGCGGGTCCGTGGCAATGCCGTGCGGTGAGTGGATGAGCCCGAGCCGGCTGCTCCACCATGCCCACCCCCGGGGCAGCCCGGCTACGCTAAGCTTTGAGGGGTACAACCTCTGGGTTAATGAAGAAAAACACAAAGCAGGAGAAAATACATAATCTCCACCTGCCTCCCCCCAAATCCCGACCCGTTCCTTCCAAACAGTCAAACTCTAAAGTTTCCAAAAACCCCTTATTGTGGGAGAACCAAGAAAACGTCTTCGACTCCCTGGGAACTGCACGTTTTTGGGTAAAGTGTCTAAAAAATGTTATATATGCAGCAAGTTGGGATTTTGTTTGCCTTTTTGTTTATTTGTTTTGTTTGTGGGGGGTTTTTTAAAGTTGTTTTTATTTTTCCTCTACTCATCTGACTTTATGGGATCTTGTATCCGAGGAATATCTGTGCAAACTCATTAGGAAGGACAGGTGAAGAGATGAATAACAGAAGGACAGACATGTAAAAAACCCCAAAAAACAAAAACAAACAAACAAACAAACAAACAAAACAAAAACAAAAAAAACCCTGTAGAACCAAACTAAAAAACCCCCAGAGAAACAGTCCGGTGTGCTTATTTTGGATGACTCTGCAATACTACTTCAGGAGTCATAAGCGGTAGGAAAAGAAGTAAATTTCATCGCAAAAATGAAGTGGATGAACGGGGCACAGCCTCTGGGAGGCAAGCAGTGCAACGGGACAGAGGCAGGGGCAGGGAGGAGCAGGAGGGGCAGGACCAGGCCGGCCTGTTCTCTGTTCTGTCCGGTGTATGCTGTGCGGGATAACACCATTCCATTACAGCCCACCGGGGACTTCGTTCGCCTCGTTTGATAAACGCGGGAAACACCCTCTTCTTCCTCCTCCCTCTCTCTCTTTAAGAGATGCTGTAACATTGCCAACTGTCCTCGGAACAGGCAGATCCGGCGAATCCTCATCGGTAAATCTCCGAATTTGCCCTAAAAATGAGCATTTCCGACGGAGCACCGAAGGAAGGATGCGCACCTTCCCCCGGGTCGTTCCTGGCTGGGCGAGGCAATCCTCGGCTGCAAGGCGCCCCTGTACGCATCCGAGGCAGAGACTCTTACGATACACCCCTCTCCTTACTAGTAGTGGGACAGGACAAGAAGCTAGAGTGTTCCTTACCGGTACCACCCTAGGAAAACCCCGCAGACACCTAAAGAACTTGACACACTCTTTCAGGAGAGCTGAGCCGTAAAATTGCTATTGAGCGGGTGAGTCGGGATTAAAAGACGGAAGGGGAGCCCCTACGAGAACACGCGTGCAGTAAGGGGGAGAAAGGGGCAGGGATAGAGGTAGCGAAGGCGAAACAGGCGGCGGCTGACCTGGTCGAAGTAGATGGTCATGGTGCGGTTGCTCATCTCGGAGGGCTCGTGGTTGGTGCTGCGGGTGGCCGAGAAGGCCACCTTGGCGCTGCCCGAGCGCACCGAGATCCCCAGCGAAGAGGTGATGGCGCCGTCGGCCGAGGGGCTGGAGTCGCAGACCACCAGGCACTTCCCCTCCAGGACGATGGGCTCCGTGTCGTTCTGCGCCCGCACCGGGCACCCGGCGGGCAGCAGCAGCAGCAGCAGCGGCAGCGCCGCCGCCAGGCAGCAGGAGCAGCTGCCCGCTGGCTCCGGCAGCGCCCCCCGCCGCCGCCGCCCCATGCCCAGCGCCGGGCCGCCGCCGCTCGGGCTCGCCGCCGCCATGGGGGCGCCCCGCACCGCCGCCGCCGCCGCGGGCGGGCGGGCGCGGGCAGGCGGAGGGGGCTGCTCGCCTGCTGCCGCCGCGGCGCCCCGCGGCCAGAGCTCTGCGGGACGGCGGCTGGGCAGCGGCGGCTGGGACCGCGCCTTCCTCCCCTTCTCCTCCTCCTCCTCCGCGCGGGGTGAAGGAGCCTCCTCAGAGGGCGGCCGACGCGCAGCAGCCTGCCAAGGGGAAAGGCGGCGGTGAGGCACCGCAGGGCGCAGGCGGGAGCCGGCACCGCGCCACCCGCCAGTGCCCCGCTGCCGCGGGCTGTTCTCCCTCGCCCCGGGATCCCCAGCCGGCACAACAGGTCTGGGAGACATGTCGCTGCCCGATGTTCCCTCTTTCTCCCGTACCCAGCAGCCGGGGGTCCCGCAGCCTCAGCCGTACTCTGAGGCGGGAGGAAGGGGCAGCGCGGCAGATTGCATCCTCAAACCCGCGGTGGAGCACCCTCCAGGGGCCTCAGGCGCCCCACAACCGAGGAGGGCTCCAAAACCCGGCTAGTTCCCGGGGCCCCACTTTTTACTACATCTGAGAGCCGGGTTTACATCTGTCTCCTAATGCCCCAGCCACTACGGAAGGAAATTTTATTCTTGTTATTGGTAACGCGCCCTCTCGCCCCTCAATGGAGCTGCCCCGCTATCTCTGGAGTTCGCGGGCGGCCAGGACGCCCGGAAGCCCGTGCCCCCGCCGCGGCGCTGCCCCGGCCGGGCTTTGGAAGCCGCCTCCGCCCTTCTCCCCGCCTGGCTGAAGAGCTGCGCTCGGGCAGATTTGTACTTCCCAACCTTCTGTCCCCCAGGCCAGGCTGCCACCGCTGCCGCCGACTCCGGCGGCTCCCTAAACTCTCGGGAAGGAAGCAGCCGGCTCAGGTACCCCTCAGCTTCCACCCCGGCATGCACACATATCGCAGGAGTCAAAGCCTCACCCGGCGTCTCCCTCGGAAGTTGCATCTCAGTTTTTCCCGTTCACCAGAACACCCGGCGATCTCGCTCGTGGGAGATCGCCCCTGTACTTCCCCAGAGGCATCTCTACCGCTGCCCTAACCCTGCATCTTATTTTTGCTGTCATTTAAAATGGTAATTTGCAAAAGGAACAGCCGGCGGGAAGGAGAACCGCCTTTTTACCTGGGAGGTCCATGACGGGAGAGGAGGGCTGGCTAGGTAGCTCGTCCGTGAACTTGTATTGCTCAGAGAAAATGAGCCGAGATTGCGCTGGCAGAAAGAAAAGGAAACAGGAGTCGCCTCTTTCTCTCCCGCCCATTGCCAATAATCATCCCCCTCCCGCCAGCCGCTACCACCACCACCCCACTTCCTCCCTCCTCCCCTCTTCACGCACACATACACATACACATACACACTATCGGCAGGGATTCAGACCTCGGTAGCCGAGCAGAGCGTGGCCACGGCACCTCCGTCGACCCCGCAGCCCAACCCTTGCCCCGGCCAGACGCTCCTCTCCCTGGAGCCGCTCCCCGCTCCCTGGAGCCGCACCCTGGCACATCGCGAGCAGCCGCGGCGAGGCGCGGTATTCCCACTGGGACAGCCTCTCCGGGGCGCCCCGCCGCCGGGTGTCACCGGCGGCAGGGAAAAGCCGTATTCCCTCGCCTCCCTCTTCCCTTATTTCTACTTAAACCCGTCGTGCTGAGCCGCACCTGTACCAATATGCCACCGACACGTTAGCGCTGCTGCGGCCGAACAACGCAGCATCGCTAACTGGGAACTATTTGAAATTCATAGACTTTAATAATTATAATAATAATAATAATAATCACTAAAAGGTACACGTTGGTTGAGAAACTTCATGCCGTAAGGTTCCACGCCGCACACTGAAAAGCCTCATTCCCACGCCCGTACCCCCACGCCTCGGCACCCAGAGATCGGCGGCGGCTCCCCCTTTTTTAAAGTATTTCTTCCACGGGGCGTCTCCGCTTCCCGAACCGCGATCCGCTCCCTGACCCACTTCCGGACTGGGACCTGCTCCTCGACCCGCTCCTGGACAGGACCCACTCGCCGACACACTCCCGGACTCGCACCCGCCCTCAAACCCTCTCCCTAGCCGGGATCCGCTCCCGGGCCAGACCCGCCCGACCCCCACCTGCCCCGCCCGCGGCTCCGCTCCAAGTGCGGTCGCGTGGCGCCACCTGGCGGCGCCGAGGGAAGTCGCGCCCTTGGCGGGGCGGGCCGGGCTGGACCGCGGGGCTGCCGTGGAGGGCTGGGAGGGAGGAGGGAGCGGGAGTCGCACCCCGGCCAGAGAGGCAGGGAAAATCCCAAGCGCCATTAGGCTGAGAAACCGAGTGGCAGCCCCCTCTCTCTGCCTGGGTGCTCTGGGCTTGTGGGTTGCCCCTGCTTTACGGAGCAGTAATGATGATTTATGTCACAGTCAAGGTTATCATCAGATATTACTGCCTGCAAATGTTGTTTCATGGGTCTCATCCCGTGGGGCTACTGCTGAGAGGTTATCGGCAACGCGAGAGAAGGTGAGGCAGAGCTCTGACAATGAAGTTTTGAGAAAAAGCGTTGCATTTTGATGCATTTCTCTCTGTTGCGAACTGCATTTCTCATCGCATGTGGTATTTTCCTGGAGATCCTAAAACTCAGACTTCAGAATCTGAAATGAACTTATCAGAAAGTATACATCTGCATATACATTTAAGTGGTAGCTCTTGACAGAGAGGAAAATCTGCGAGAGTGTACGTCAACAGTAAAATTACAATCTCTTCTGTGAATGAGCACTCCTCAGTTTCAATCTCCTGCTTTAAGCAGAAGCAAGGAACCCCTGAGGGTGTCTGCCTGATGATTTGCACCGAGAAATTAATCATGCCCTGAAATTGCGGCTAAGCAGTGTGCAGGGAATTCCTAACCTATAGCTCCTTATTTCAAATGAGAAATTTATACTAAGCCTGAAATACTCGTGTTTAATGATCTTTTTCCTGACTTCACGGAGCAACGAGAGCAGAAAGCTGAAAAGGGTATTGCATTAAAATTATCAGAAATCAGAGCAGGAACAAGTTTGTGGCTGTAAGGGAGCACCTATTCTGCAAGACAGTGAAAAGGACCATAGAAATTCCTCCAGAAGATACCAACACTAAATCTTACATGGATCTGGTACACTGGGGAGCTGCTATTATTTCTCTTTGGTCACCCTACCCATTGACTATGTTGTATAAACCAGGAATGAAAGTAGAGCCAAAAGATTTGTACCTTCTTTTATATGGCTTACAACGGAAGGCCCAATGTGAGGGAATGATGGCATGTCATCAGTTCTGTCTGCTACTTTCAAGAAAGATAAGCATAACAACTAAAGAGAACTGAAAAGCCCTTAAATCCAATATGCACCCACAGGAGAAAAAGAAAAAAAAAAAGAGATTAGGTCTTG